GCTGCACCTTTCAAAAAAATTAAAATAGGAACCCTAGATTGATTTAATCACCCATACAAGCGAAAAAACGTAATGAAGATACTTAGTGCCAAATTAGTTTCTTGGGACCTTTTCCATGTAAATAATACAAATCAAACCTTGAAGTTCAGTGCAGATATGATCTGACAAGTAAGCCAGACTTTTTCTTTTACTTTGATCCAGCTCCAGAAATATTTTATCCGAGGTAAAGTTGTTTTTAAGTGTTTTCCATTTCAGTTTTTAATTTTGGATATTCATCATATAGGAACCTTGCTTATAATGCTTATAACATCAGTCTGGCTGAACTGACTCACAGCACCAAAAATAAAGATTTCCTTATTTTTGCTCCTAAGAGTGAAAACATAAAGAGCTCCCGACATGACACGGGATTGATTTTAACTCGCTCTGTTATTTTTAATGGTGCACTGAACGTGGACAACCCGAGTTCACTATTTCCAAACATCAAGTCAAGCCAACTCCAACACTTTTAGCACTGTTCCACTTCTGATAGGTGTGTTGGTGAATAATACTTTTGAAAATAGTAAGATAGATAGGCCTTTGTTTTCTCTGTGATTCCCCAAATTCCCCACATGCTGCCATTCCCTCAGGATGCAGTCTGGGAGCAACAGTGCCTTCTCTTGGCAGAAAATCTCCACATAAGACTTATTTTAATTTTTTGAGTATTTTACTTTTGTATTTCTCTTTGTTAAAAATAAATAAAACAAATGAAAACAAAACAAAGCAACTTTTTTTACTCCATTGTAAAACCAAGATGAAGATTCTGCAGTTCAGACAACTACATCTATATAAAAAACTAACCTTGTTCAGAATTTTAAGTGCTGTGGGCCTAAATACAGATTTAGGCACCTTGCTGTAGGCATCCAGTTTTCAAAAATTCAGCCCTTGTGAATAATGTAAAATCCTCTGGATTCTTTTACTTCCACAAATTGGTATGTAGTATATTTAGAATTAACAGGGCCCCTTTTCTCTTTTCACTCCGCTATGTGGTGTAAGGTTAATGAAAATAAGATGGATCTTTTATTTTGGGTCTTAAATATAATATTATTAAATGTGCCCACCAGAAATGTAGGATAAAATATTTGCTCTGCTTGAAGATTATGTGATATTTGTATTCTAAGCCTCACCACAGTGGGTTTCTTTAAATAGAAGCTATACTTTACTCCTAAATTGCTTAAGGCAAAGGAAGCAGAGATGATGTTTTTATGAATGTTTAAATGCAAATGGAACTGAGAGTGAATGCTATGCTAGCTAACATCAAAGGCTCACCAAAGTCTCTGCATTAATGAGGCTCTTTGTTTCCTGGATCACAGATTACAACAGGTTTCCAACTCATTGCCAAGGCTTTATCTCCATTTGGGAGGGCTGTAAATCTCAGACGATTTTTTTCACATGCAAAACAAGAGGATCATCTGAAAGAGAAAAAAAAAAATCTGAAAGTAGCAAATATTTCATTCAAATTATTATTACTCAGAGTGGCTGCAGCTTATTTTATTTTTGTGATGTTGAAAAGAATGGAAATCTGCAGACGGAGTTTCCTATGGGGTAGCCCGCTCATTCATTTGGGTGGGAGAGCTGAGCAGGAAAAAAGCAAACAGCATCCTTTCCCTCTCCCATCTCCTTTAGCCAGGCATAAACTGTGCCCCCTAAATCAGAACAATAATTCTATGTCATGCAAAATCAGCAATTAGCAGAAAGACGGATTTTGCTTCATTTAAATATATTCAGTACTTTTCAAAGTGGCTCCAACTAGTTCTTCTCCTCCCCAAAAAGTAATGAGATTATATCCCTAGTAATAATACCCTAATTAACAAGAAAAATAGGGACCGAGATTTTTAGCTTCCTATTCAAGGGCTGAATGTGACAATATGTAGTATATTGGGTCATAAAAAACAATTTACATGGCGTCATTACAGTCTGTAGAAAAGTCTCCAGGACCCAGGGCTATCTTATGCAATCTTAATTAAGGAAAATAAATATCAGTGTGTTGTTTTAAGCTACTGGAGACATGCACAGGACCTGTCGTATGTGATCAGAAGAGATGGGGAGTTTCCTTTTTCATGGGAACTGCTTAAAAAAAAAAAAAAAAAAAACTCCGACGCTGACACAGAAGTGTCTAGTGTCTTCGAAATTGGCTTCGAAGATGGTAATTTCATGTTTCCTGACCCTCGGGGCCAGTCAGGAAAACTAATAATTTTCTGCGATCCAACGTCACGTCTGTGCCTCCGAAGGGGCTGGGGCCGAGGGAGCGACAGCGGGAGCTGGGCGCTGTGGGCACCCACGGGTGGCACCCACGAGGGACACCCACGAGGGACAACCATGAGGGGCACCCACGAGGGGCACCCACGAGGGACAACCATGAGGGGCACCCACGAGGGACACCCACGAGGGGCACCCACGAGGGACACCCATGAGGGGCACCCACGTGTGCCTGCGCACACCCACAGCCAGGAGGGCACAACTAGCGTAGGCACACGTGCACTCATGTGTGCACACATATACGGGCTGGTGTGTGTCTGTGGGCACACATACACGTCCTGGTGTGTCTCAGTGTGCACACACACGTGGTGATGTGTGCCTGTGTGTGCACACACATATGTTGAAGTATGTCTGTGCACACATATACGGGCTGGTGTGTGTCTGTGGACACACATACACGTCCTGGTGTGTCTCAGTGTGCACGCACACACGTGTTCATGTGTCTCAGTGTGTCACACATGTACATGTTGATGTGTGCCTGTGTGTGCACACATATACGTTGAAGTGTGTCTGTGCACACATATATGGGCTGGTGTGTGCCTGTGTGTGCACATGTACACGTCCTGATATGTCTTACTGTACACACATATACGCGTTGATGTGTGTCTGTGTGCACACACATACACGTCCTGGTGTGTCCTAGTGTGCACACGCACACACACATGTTGATATGTCACAGTGTGCACACATGTATGTGCTGATGTGTGCTTGTGTGTACACACATATATGTTGATGTGTGTCTGTGTACACATATGCAGGCTGATGCGTGTCTGTGTGTGCAGATGCACACATGTTGATGTGTCTCAGTGTGAGCACACACACATATGTTGATATGTGCCTGTGAGCACATACACGTGTTGATACGTGTCTGTGAGCACACATATATGTGCTGGTGTGTGTCTGCAGCTCCCAGTACAGACTTCTGGCCTCATGTTTTGGTGTGTGCTGCTGACCTGCGTGTGTAGATTTGTGGGCAAACGTGAGCACGCAGACGTGTTTGTGTGCACAGATGTGTGTGTGCAGATGTGGGTGGGTATGCTGGTGCGTGCTGGCACGCGTGTACAGTTGTGCACGCAGACGCGCGGCTGCGTGCGTGCAAATGAGCACCCACCTCTGCAGGTGCATGTGCAGGTGTGGGCACGCGGGTGCTTGCGCAGACGAGAGCAGACATGGGTGTGCACACATGTGGGCACAGCTGGGCACGTGTCTGGGGTGAGCAGAGATAAAGGTGCGCACAGGTGTGCAAGCAGAGATGTGTGTGAACACAAACGTATGAGTAGAGACAAGTGTGCTCGCAGATGTGTAAGCAGAGATGTGTGTGTGCTCGCAGATGTGTGAGCAGAAATGTGTGTGTGTGCACAGATGTGCAGAGGTGCCTGTGCATACAGATGTGACAGCAGAGGTGTGTGTGCATGGACAGATGTGCCAGCAGAGATGCGTGTGCACACAGATGTGCCAGCAGAGGTGTCCGTGCACGCCGATGTGTGAGCAGATGTGTGTGCATACAGATATGCAAGCAGAGATGCCTGTGCATATAGATGTGTGAGCAGAGATAAATGTGTGCACAGCTGTGCGAGCACAGATGCGTGTGTGCACAGATGCAGAGATGCCCGTGCATACATATGTGACAGCAGATGTGTGTGTGCACACAGATGTGTGAGCAGAGATGCATGTGCACACACAGATGTGCCAGCAGAGATGCCCGCGCATGCAGATGTGCCAGCAGAGCTGTGTGTGTGCACACAGATGTGTGAGCAGAGATGCGTGTGCATATAGCTGTGGAAGCAGAGATAAACGTGCGTGCAGATGTGCAAGCAGAGATCTGTGTGTGCATATGTGCAAGCAGGGATGCGTGTGCCCACAGACGTGCAAGCAGATATGTGTATGTGTGCATACCGATGTGCGAGCGGAGATGCCGGTGCACACAGATGTGTGAGCGGAGATGCCCGTGCACACAGATGTGTGAGCGGAGATGCATGTGTGCACACAGATGTGCAAGCAGAGATGCCCGTGCACACAGATGTGCCAGCAGAGATGCATGTGTGCGCACAGCTGTGCGCCCATAGCCGGGGGCTGCCCTGAGCCCCCAGAACCGCCTACCCCAACCCCCCCTCACCCAAACCCCCCCACCCCCCCACCCCCCACCCCCCGCAGCCGGGCCGTGTGCCGGGGGGGGTCCCGCACCGCGGGGAGGGGGGGCTCACCCCGCTACACCGCGGCTGCAGGAAGCCCGGGGGGGCGGTGGGGTGGGGGGAGCACGGAGGCGGGCTGGCGGTCCCTTTAAGAGCGTGTATCAGCGTGTGCATGTGTGTGTGTGTGTGCATGTGTGTGCATGTGTGCGCGTGTGTGCCCGCCCCCGGCCCCGCCCCGGAGCTGTCAATCACCCGGCGGCCGCTTTGATGTCGGCAGCCCTCAGCCGCCGCGCCGCCGCGCTCGCACACAGGCACCGGGCGCTCCGTGCCTTCGGCCGCCGCCGCCCGCTGCGACCGGGGAAACTTTCCGGGGCTCCGAGGAGGAGGAGGAGGAGGAGGAGGGGGGGGGCGGCGGCGGCGGTGGTACGGGGCGGGCGGCGGCGGGGGGGGGGGGGGCGGGGGGGCGGTCCGTGGAACCCCGGTATCCCGCGACGCCCGCCCGCAGCTTGCTGAGCCCCCCGTGAGCCGCCGGGGGAGGGAGGGAGGGAGGGGGGGAAGGAAAGGATTTAAGAAGAAAAAACATTTTTTTTTTTTTTTTAAAGGAAGGATTTAAAGGGAATTGGAGAACGGGAGGAAAAATTGAAGGAGAAAGTTTAAAAGTTAAAAAGGAAGAAAAAAAAAAAAAACTTTAGAAAAAATTTCAAGAGGGAGCGAATTTTTTTTTTTTTTTTCAAGAAGGGGGGAGCAAAAAAAGAAAAATTGAGGGAGGAAAAAAAATAATTGCGAAGGGCTTGATCCGGGCGGCGGAGAACAATACTCGCCGGGAAAGTTGCTGCGCGGCTCGGGAGGGAGCGGCGGGAGGAAAATGCCGCAGCTGGGCAGCGGCGGCGGGGACGACCTGGGGGCCACGGACGAGATGCTGGCCTTCAAGGACGAGGGCGAGCAGGAGGAGAAGATCCCCGAGAACGCCTTCACGGAGCGCGACCTGGCCGACCTCAAGTCCTCGCTGGTGAACGAGTCCGAGGGCAGCGGCAGCCCCGCCGCCGCCGCCGCCGACCCCGAGGTGAGCCCGGCCGGCCCCGCCGCCCCCGCCCCCGGCCCGCGGCCCCCGCCCGCCACCCCCCGCGCTGCCTCTGTCTCTCCTCCCCACGCAGGCCATCAGACGAGTGCAGGATCCGCAGAGGGTTTATCAGGAGAAGCTCCCGGACCACATGGATGATGGTTAGTCGCAGCCACCACCACCCCACCACCCCCCCCACCCCCCCATCACCACCACCCTCCTTTCACCCATGTCTCTGCGTGGTCCCATCCACGATCCCATCCTCCCTCCCCAAGGTGGGTGCACCCCCTGGTCCCCAAACCCCCTGCCCCGTGACCCTCAAGAGTGAGGGATGCTGGCTTGCCCGCACCTAAAAAAGCGGCTCCCATCAGCAGTGAGGCTGCCCACTGCGTCCCAGGTGGGACCCCCGCACCCCCGTGGGGACCCTGGCACCCCTCCAGCACCCTCCCCGAGGAGTATGGGGCAAAAGGGCTGCCAAAATGTGCTGTAGCCTCACCGGGGGGGCCCCCTGGCAGGATGAGGAATCACTTGTCGTAAGGCGAATCTTGATGGGGAACTTTACTTCTAGCAGGTATGAAACACCAGGACCCAGGGATGTATAAAGGATCTGCGTATTCTGGCTACCCTTTCCTAATGCTCTCAGATCCTTATCTGCCAAATGGATCTATGTCACCTCTGGTGAGTTCATCCTCTCCTTACGGAGAAGTTTTGTGGCCTCTTTCACTGCTGAAGTATGTTGCGGGTATCATGCGGGTACCTACACGTGTTGTGTTGGTTTGGTTTTTTTTTTTCCTGACAAATGGCAGCCGTTTCTAAAATGCCTGGGTGCTGTTCTGTCCAAGCTGAAGGGAGAAGGAGTGGGAAGGGGGAAAAGATGCTCAGCAGCAAGCGCCTGCTTCGCTCTGAATTTCCTGGAGGAGCTTCTCTTCCAATCTCTCCGTTCTCTAGGCTCGCCTTTACTCTTCCAGCAATCAAACCCTAATTTATAATGTAAGAATGCCCCTTCCTTTTTCTGAGTCACAGGCGTTGGAGGCGAGCAGCTTCTGGTGTTTGTGTTCAGGGATATGTCCCGCAGCTTAACTTTAGTTTGATGTATCGGCTTGTAAAACAGCCGGGTTTTGGCCTGCCTTTGGTTAGGGCTCTGTTGTGGATGATGGCCCCAAAAGCTCATCTTGTGCTTCTACAATGGCAATAGAGGTTTTTAGAAAAAGGCTTAATGCTGCTGGAAGACTATCCCTGTCTTACTCCTGCAGAGTTTTTCCCTCTCAGTTCTAATCAGCGTCAGTTACTTTTTGTATACTCTAATGTTTATAAATTTTGCTATCTGAATAAATAAACAAAAGGCTTTTCTACAAAAGCTGTCTTTTCCCATCACCGTCTCTATCAGAATTTAGAAAATAATCCGAAAATTGTCAGAAAATAATCTCAGGACACTGAAGTGTGTACTTGGCACTCGTGTCACTCTGGGGAGCTGGCACTGCTACATTCATTTCAGATGTTACTCTGCATTTACAGTCAGTAAATGAGAACAGAATATAATTCATTTTATTTCAGTTTTACTTTTTAGCCTGTATAGGGATATATAATGCTGTCCTTAATTTCAACCCTTTGTTCACTAGAGGGGTAGGATGTTATGAGGTGGTATGAAAAATGGATGGATTGTAAAGTATGAAACTCAAAATGAGATGAAATGTTGTTCACGGGAATCACCACCGTGTCCTCCCACCCGAGCCTGCCCGTGCCCCAGCACAGCCGTTCTTGAGGAGCTGATTTCCCCAGCTGCAGACTGTCATAACTTTACTGAAATCAGTGTGCAGATATTGAGGGTCTGTCCCTAAATTTTGAAGTCTTCCTTCAGTTTACAGACAGTAAAGATGGGTTTGCAAGGCAGGGCCAATGTAGGTTGTTGTTATCCAAATAAGCATTTCTCCTGTTGCTTCCCACCTTGTGCCCCTTCGTCCAGGTACCAGGTATCCCCCTCACCCCCCTAAAATATTAAGCTGTTCTCTTCCTGATAAATTTTAAATGATGATATTAAATTTGTCTTATTTAAATGCATTTAATTTGCTCCCTGGTGTAGAATCTGAGTCTGTTCAGAGTTACATTAGCCCAGCAAGTATTTGCTGTAGTAGAATATTTCTTTTAACCTTAAACCCTTACTAGGTGGGCGACAAAGAGCAATAGCCTATTTATTAGCAATTAAGCTAAAAAGTAGATTGTGGTTTGTGAATCGCCTTTCCGCTTGATAAAGTAATACAAACCTAAGAGGTTACTGTCAGAGCAACAGACAAGAGTAAATAGACTGTGCAGAACTCAAAGGGGAAAAAGCTGAGTAGCGGAGAAGGAAAGATCCCGTCCCCTTGAGAGCCACAGAAATCATCCACTGCCTCAGCCAGCCTTACTTAGGCCTGTTCAGATCCTGCGCTGGACAGTGTTGTGTGACTTAAAAAGCTTATTTGATGTTTTCAGCTAAAAATTGGTTACCTAACAGACACAGGAAGATTTCTTCCTTGACTTGTTTTTTTGACTTGGTACAATAGCTATTCTGATATATCTTTCTGGGCCATTTTGTCTTGTGTTTATATTGACTGTGCAAAGGTTATCATAGTAAATTATGTATTGCTCTCCTATAGATTTATTGCTGCTATGTATATTATATAATGTGTGGACTATAATCTAGTGGCTGCTTCCAATAACTGAGGAGGTCAGATCTGTGACTGAAGATTGCAGATACTTAGCCATCCATAAAAGTGTGTTTAATTAACACTTCAGCACAAGTGGAGTTGGGGAGGAGGGCTATGTGAGTGAATGGAATTACGTATCAGTCATGAGTGCACTTGATAGTGGAGACTGCATTTTGGTTAATGGGGCTTCCTGAAAATGGTTGTTTGCAGCTAAGGTTAATTTCAGTATCTTCAGAAAAATAAAAATTAAAAAAATTAACCCAGGCAAACTGTCAGAGCTTTACATTTACCTGACTGAAAAATAGAATACAGCTCCCTGAAAGACGAAAGGCGGCGGGCACCGAGGCTGAGGGTTGAACCCCCGCCCTGCGACGCACCATAAAACCACTTTTTTTTTTTTTTTTTTTTTTTTCTGTGGGCTTCCTCCGAACCCCGTCGGGGTGCTGTGAGCGGCGCTGGAGCTGGCCCGGAGCACCAGCCCGGGTGGGTGTGTCGCTACCGGCATTACCGGTGTGCTGCTTTCCTTTTTTCTTTCTTATTTTTTCAGCAGCATCGCCACTTCTGCTTTGTTTCCCTCAAGGTGGTTGTAGCCCACTAACTGTTACAGTGCTCACCCCAACGCATCCTGCTAGGCTGCCCGCACCTCCCCAGCCAAAATTGTCTCTTTTTACCAAAACACACCTAGTGGTGTTATTTACATGCTCTGGTGTTGCTCCAGAGCGATGCACTGAACACGTCTGGGTACCTGACATCAGCAGTAACAAGCCCAGAGGATGGCCCCAGCGAGCAGCAGGATGTGGCAAGAGCCCCCCGGGGCGCTGGGCTCGGTTGCCCACCTTTGCTGCAGGTGGCAAATATCCAGTTTAGGGCAGTTCGGCTGGAGCGACGCTGGTTTGAGCAAGCCCAAGTAGCCTGGACTGGGAGCAGAGCTCTGAGAGAGGAAGGAGGGCTGGGGGGCGGCTGGGGCGCGGGGGGGACGGTGCTCCTGGAGCTGGGGACGAGGCAGCGGGCTGAACCCGGGTGCCCTGTGGTTTGGGAGCGTGCTGTGAACCCCCGTCGGCTGGGCGGGCTGGGGAGGGCACGCTTGTGGGCAAGTGTGTTAACAGCATCTCTGTGCAGACTGTGCGTGCGTCTGAAACCTCGAAGTTTTGCAAAGCACCGGGAGAACTGCTTCTCACCCGGCTCTCGGGTGTCGCACGCGTGGTGGTTCACGACTCTGCGTTGAAAAGTCCAGCTTTTCCCAGAGTGGAATATGTAGGATTTGCCGGTTAAAAATCTGCAAGAAACTCCCAAAGAATATTAACAAGTTGAGGAACTGTTTCTCTAAATGAAATATAAAATCATAAAACTATATCCTTTTTTAAATAGTACAAATGACTTGAAATCAAATTAAGGTACATCCTTAGTAAGAACATCAGCCTTTTAGGTGGTTACAAACATTAGAGGTCAGACATGGTCAAACATGTTAACACTTTGATCAGATTAAAATATTTTTCTTGCTACAGTTGTATAATTGAGTTTAGACCTGAGGGGGTTTTCTGAACATTGTTATATCTTGTACCATGTGGTAGTTAAATGGTAGAAGGAGCACTTATAAGTTCCTTTTGTAAATAGGTTTATAAAATAGGGGAATGAGCCATGTTGTCCCGTATGCAGGGCACAAGGTCTCCCCACTCCAGTTGGTGGGAGAGCTCCCGGGGGAGCTCTTCACACCTTCTGTGCACCTCTGTTGTGTGTAGTGAGTGTGAGGTGTGTGAAGGAAGGATTAAAATTTTCTATATATAAAGCTGAGGCACTGGACTTTCTGCCTGTGTGCGAAACAGAAGTCCAAGAGCCTCTCTTTCTTTGAAAAACAGACACTACCTCATTTTCTTAATAATGAAGTTGTCTAACCAGAGCTCACAGAGGAGCAGAAGGGTGGTGGTACCTTCCCAAGCTTTGCACATTTCAAGTCCCCAGATGAGATGGCAGGCCTGGGGAGCAGCACTGGATTTCAGAGCCTGCTCCCTTCGGTCTGCTGGGCTCCTCGAGCCTGGCTCCCGCCGAGTGGGTTTGAAACGTCCCCTTGGGCAGGGCAAGATGAAAGTGCAGTTACTGCTGGCCTGGGGCCACAGGTCCCAAACGTCCAACGTGAGGTCAAAAAGCTACAAGCCTCCTGCTGCCCTTTGCAGGACAGAAGCTCAAGCAGCAGCAGCGGGGCCCTGGGACATGGCTACTGCTGCTGCAGCCCCCCTCGCCCAAGGATGCTCCATCCCTTCACGGGAGGAGGCTGTTGCCCCCGCAGCAGTTGTCAGAAGGAAATCTGCAGCTCAGCTGTGTAGAGGTCTTTCTGTCCTAGCTTACACTCTCAGGGCGATAGTTTCGTATTGCTTTTTCCCAGCACTGAGTTCTGGTCCTGTTGAAACCAGTGGGAAAACTCCCCGGAGTTGCCCTGTGATGGGGATCTGTCGCTGCGAGGGAGCTGCCGCATCCCTCTCCAGATGTTGTGCGTGGAGGGAGGGCAGCTGCGAGCAAACAGTAGCTCCGCAGCAGTGCCTGCTGCTGTGGGAGAGCAACGTCACCAGCAGCATCCCAGCCAGGTTCCCTCAGCAGGATGGTGCTCTGTCACCGTGGATTGTTATTTTCCCGGCAGAAAGCGTTAAAGAGCACAGTGACTGTTGATGGACGACCTCGCAGACAGACTGATGAGTAATTTGTTCCCTCCTGACCAGGGCGAATCCACTTCTTCCAGCTCTTCTACCTAGCTTGAAATAGGATAATGGTGAAAATAATTTTTTTATATTAGAGCATAATGTTGGATATGTAGATGTACCAAGGTACAGGGCTTCCAAGGTCATTTATTGCATGTCTGATTCAGCCTTGGTTCCCCCCCAAGGAAAATTCTTGTGTTAATTTCTGAGTTCATATCACACCCTCAATTTTGAAGCAGAACTTCCCTTTGAAATAAATTAGAGAGTTCTGGTTAAGAAGCAGTGACATGATACAGCACTGCCT